GGCTGGGGATTTAGCTCAGTGGAACTGTGCCTGCCTGGCAAGTGCAAGGTCCTGAGTTCGATCCCCGGTACAAAAAAAAAAAAATTGTGTCATGACTCTTCACTAAGTACCTTTTACCAGTTGAAGAGGCCTATTAGTGTATTCTATCCAGCTTGTCCAGAATTGAGGACTATTAGGGAAAGGATAAGACTCAGTCTTTAGTGTGCTAGAAAAGTAGCATCTCAAGAGAAGGGGCAATAAGCTTATGCATGATCATAAGTACCTTAGAGCAATATTGCTCAACATGAAATAAACTAAAATGTGGGTAATAGACCAAATGTATAATTTCATTGGAAAGTGTGAATTTCTTCCATCAGTATCCAGGTTATTATAACTTAGGATACATACATTTCTGCCTCTGCTTTACCAGATCCCTACCAGATATTATCAAGTATCACACATATACCTAAAGGGGTTCACACTTTTTTATGTTGTTGCCATGTTCCTTCATTTCAACTACTTCTAAGAACTTTCAGCAATTATGAAACTAGGAGATAGGGACAGGGGTGGAAGTACATTTAAATTGCTTATTTCCCAATTTTGCTCTTAGACTACATGTCCCCTCCTTTTCATATCTCAACCCATAGAACTGATTAATGCAAAATCCATTTCTTTATTTTTTTTTTTTTTTTTGGTACCAGGGATGAAATTCAGGACCTTGTGCCTGCAAGGCAGATGTGGTACCACTAAGCTAAATCCTCAGCCGCTGAAAAATCCATTTCTTAAGAGGCTGTTCCTATACCGTAGAAAGCAAGCACTAAGACAGTGATGGCAAACGTTTTAAAGCCTTCAATGATACAAACAACACACTATGGCATGTGGGCCATAGTTTTTCCACTACTGCCCTGGGAGTTGTTTTTCTAAGGAATGGAGTTGTTACTATTTGAATTTCTGTCCCTTATTGTTCTTGCAAGGGCTAAGGTAAAAACATTCAGGCAAGTTGTAATGGAGAACAAAAAAATAAATAAATGCAAAGATGGAACAGCTGAAATGGCTCTATGTTTATATTCTGATAGAATACCCAAACTACAACTCTTCTTTAATTTCAAGTGTGCTCAGGTAACACCGTTCTCCAAAGCTGAATTGGTGGTCAAATCTAGTACCCCCAACCCAGTGTCCTTGTACTTACCCAAGAGGGGTTGAGTCCTTGTCCAACTACTCGTGGATGCTGTGGAGTCCACTTCAAGGATGCTACTGCTGTGAGACTTTGGGATATGACGCCAAGAAGGGACGAATCCTGCTGATCTCTTAGCACTTGGATCCCTAAAAAAAAAAAAAGAGAGAGAGAGAGAGAAGCTAGAGTCTAGTAAAAGTATCAGAAGGGAAGCTCCCAACAACATTCCTAAGACTAAATTCCCTCAACAAAACATCAAATGAATATATAATGGTGGTAATGTGCTTGTAGTCCCAGCTATTTGGGAGGCTGAGGTAGGAGTCTATCTTAAGTTCAAGAGTTTGAGGCTGGTGTAGGCAGCATCATAAGACTCACATTTCCCCCCAAAAAGCAGCTAAGCTACTTCTGAAAAATGAAATATCCACTTATCCACTCATTTCTCCATCTTATCTTACCTTGCTTATATCTTGGGCATTATGAATTAGACATAGTATCTGATACACAGTAGACATTAAAAAGCTATTAAATGAACATACTGCTCTCATATGTACTGTCTTCCTCTTTAAAGTCAGTATCTCTATTTCCATCTCTTAGAACCCATGACCTTGCACATACTAAACAAGTACTCCACAACTGAGTTATATCCTTAGACCATCTTACCAAATTTTTCTCTTCTCATGAGAAACTGAAAAAGGCTGGGTAGCCAGAGAAGAATAAAAAATAATGAAGATATGGTATCACCCTTGTAGAAGATAAAATCACTGCTTCCAAAGCAACTATAAACTATTAGGAAAATCACCTCTGGGACAACTCAGTAAAAATAATGTTTGGAGATCTGAAATTTAAAAAACAAACTGAGCTCTACAGGCAGGGTACAATGAACTCTTAAACTGTCATCATTATCTTAAATATCATTTGCTTCACAGAATCCTCAATAAACCCTAAAAAAAAAAAAAAAAGAAGAAGAAGAAGAAGAAAAAAACCTTCAGTCTAAAGGCCCTAGGCTCATTTTAAAAACAACAACAAAGCAATAATAAATAACAGCCATGGAGCCAGGCATTTAGCTCAGTGGCTCCACCACCTGCCTTTCAAGCAGAAGGTCCTGAGGTCTATCCCCAGTAACCACCCCCCAAAAAAAGAAAACAAAAAGCTGTGTTTCTTTTCTGAGTTTAGGATTTTAACAGTCTGATTCATTAATTCTTTCATTGAAAATTATTTATGAAACATTTAAAAATTATGTATATTTAAGGTACAACATATCATGGGGTACATATAGAGTAATAACTCAAGCAACTCAGTTACTTTTTGTTTTTGTGGCAAGAGCAGTTAAAATCTCATTAAAGCCAAGCATGATAGTGTAGGCCTATAATCCCAGCACTCAGGAGGCCAAGGCAAGAGGAATGCCATGAGCTCAAGGCCATCCAGGGCTACACACTGAATTTAAGGCCAGCCTGAACTACATAGCAAAGCCCTGTCTCAAAAAAAAATTAATATTATTTCCAAATACAATTTTTATATCTATATTCTTCATGAATTAGATCAGGACTTGTTTGCCCTACATACCTGAAAAATATAGAACAATTCACAAATTTGCATGTCATCCTAGCACAAGGGACATGTTAATCTCTTTTTCCAATTTTAATATATTTGCTACTGAAGTGAGAACTAATCATTGAAAAGTACTCTCCTTGTTAAGTGCCTTTATTCTTCTTCCCAGCAGAGGGTGCTGCTGCTATAGAAAGCTGGTTGCTCTACCAGTTACACAGATGGATGTTACAAAAGCCAACTCTACACTTGTCTCAGTCATGGCTAAAAGCTCCAAGTAGGGATCTCACATTGCACCTCCTGACACTGCCTTTATTCAAAGGCCAAACAATACCTGCAGGTATTTGAGCTCTCAGAGAGGGTGACATCCAGGCTGACGGGACTGCTGCTGTTCCTCTCACTGCTCTCATAGCCAGATTCCATTCGCTGGATTAGTCGAGGGTGCTGCTCTAATACAAGTTGAGAGCCTGGCCGTGCTGGCCCCCAGGGCTTGTACTGGGGGTTTGACCCACCAGCTTTAATATCATAGGTAGGTGGCTTGCTTAGTTCATCTGATGTAAATTCTTTAGCTATTCCAATCAAAAGACAAATATAAAAAAGAGGTAGACTTAGTATTTGCCTAAACCAAGTTGTAACTAACCCTTTTTTCCAGCCACTCATTGAACTCATCCTCAGAAAGCCTGACATCAGAATAAAGATGCTCTTTGCCAGATCTACCAAAAACACAAATGCATAAACCAACTTTACTGGAAAGGCCAATTTTTCCCTAATTATCTCCTCACCTGAATCCTCAGAAAAGGGGCTAAGCTGGGTATAGCCACAATGTTTCCTTTTGTCCTTACAGAAAATACTGTCAATATTCAGAGATTCTCGTTTTGGTCTCCATGTTGGACGATACTTGCTGGAAGAACTAGATTTTGACTCACTGCTGGTACTCTCTATCTCCCAGTCATGAGAGTTTAAAGGCAGGCTCTTAGGAGGTTTTTTGTCAGGCTGGTCTCCTCCCTTCCCACCACGGGGAGATCCGACATTGGTCTGCAAAGCTAGAGAAGGTCTGTTATGGATCATATTGCTGACTGTCTCTTTAAAATCCTTTAGCCTGTTGGTGCTGCTGGATGGTTTGGATGCATTCCTAGGAGCCTGCTTCTCTTTCAGTGTTTCTCCTAAAAACATAAATGAAACAAATACAAATGTTTAAAGTGATCACATATACCCACACCCAAAAGTCTAGAAAGTAAGGAAAAGCCCTTCGAGCAAAAAGGATAAGCTAACAGTCTGGTGTGTGACAACTTTGACAGAGGAAATGAACAAAGAAGAATGCAGAATGGCTTGCCTTCACTGTGGTACCCGGAGGCCTGTGGCTCATCGCCTTTCCTCTTAACACGGCCAGAACTCCTCTTGCGCTCTATCAGGGACCCTTTCTTGGATGTGTGTTTCTGATTACATTCACTATCAGTCAGGTGTCCTGAAAGAACAAAGAAAAGGGGGAAGCTGATATTTGGCCTAATCAGGACACTGAAGCTGATCAGGCTACTGTCATGAGAATCTAGTCTCTCTTTAGGATTAATGGCAGTGTTATAAACTTAGTATATTCATGGATCAGAAGAAGTTATATGGGCCAGTGTTCTCTGATTTAAGTGTAAGACTCTTTCAGAACTAAGGACACGTTACTTGGTAATTTTTTGTTGGTTTCTGTGGTCCTAAGGACCAAACCCAGGGACTCATTCATGCAAAGCAGGTGATTTATCACTGAACTAAATCCCCAACCCTTAGGATTTTTAAAAAGGCAAATGTTTTAAAGTATATATATTTTCACTTTCATAAATTGAAGAGAGGGTTTTATTTCTTTAGCAACACGTACCAAGTAAAGTCTGTTTTTAATATGTTATATGGTACAATTGTAGGTGTCCCAGACTTTGCCCAAAAGAGCTTTGATTAAATTTGGCTTTAAGACACACTTCTAAACTTTCCTTGAATGTGAAACATTTAAAAGAATATTTCAATTTTGATTATTCTCACTCTCACCTCCAACCCATGCCTCATCAAACCTGACTTCACCTAGAGATTATCCATCACAGTTTCCCAATAATAATTATTGGGAAACCCAGGGAAGCTGGGCTATGTATGTAACTTGCCATGCTTCATGCCCATGGTGTACAAATATAGGAGGACTATTAGACTAAACAGCAAATGCCAAGTTCTAAACCATATTATCAAATAAAATGGTGAAGTTAGAAGGTGAGTTAAGTTTGAAGATAGCTTAAAGAAAAGCCTCTAGGAGTCGGGGATTTAGCTCAATGGTTCCACTGTCTGCCTTGCAAGTGCAAGGTCCTGAGTTCAATCCTCAGTACCAAAAAAGAAAACCCCCTAGGTTCTCAAATGCAATCAGAGCCAACAGAAATATGTTAGTTAAAAAAAGAAAGAAAGAAAGAAAGAAAGAAAGAAAGAAAGAAAGAAAGAAAGAAAGAAAGAAAGAAAGAAAGAAAGAAAGAAAAAGAAATATGCTAGTAGGTAAAAATCCTTGTGTATGTTCAGGTATCAATAACACAGATACATATTTTCAACCAACTGTTCCAGGCAACTTTTATTGTTCTTATACATTTCTTTGCTATCTCTAGGCCAACAAGATTTAAAAAAGAAGAAAATCACTTAGAGCAACTAAATCTTACCAATGTTAAACCAATAAGCCCTTATATAAACCTGACTCTCCTAGAAAATAGACGTAGCTTTTCGTTGCTTTGGATCCCACCTAGTTTACTGTTGCAGAAATGAGGTCTTAAAAACTCACAAGTAAGGACTGGGGAATTACCTCAGCAGCACCACACCTGCCTTCAATAGCTGGTACCAAAAAAAAAAAAAACAAGAAAACAACTCAAAACTAATACCATCTATATAGTAGTTATCAAAAGAAATCCAACATGAATCTGACTAAATTTCTAGTTTTAATTAGAAACCAATTTATAAGACATAAAGAAGAGAGGAAGATATAAAATTATATCAATATGCAATCAGCAAAATTGAGAATGTGCGAAATACACAGGACTACTTAGTTCTGCAACAATAAATTACAAAGGAAAAAAACAGAAGAGAAACCTATACCTTAAAAGTAATCTACAAGACTAATTAACCCATCACATTTTGTAGACTTCTGGGGTCAAACTCGGGACCTTGCGCTTGCAAGGCAGGTGGCGGGACCACTGAGCTAAATCCCTGGCCCTTCATTTGGATTTTGAATACAACATATAAACCATTAAAAAATTATGGGATTTGTAAGATGATATCTGAACATTTCTTGGTTATTTAGGAATCATAATTACTTTTTTGGTAGTGGTACAGTGCTTGGCAAGCACTGTACCACTGAACTACAACACTGACTCTTATATTTAAGTGTGGTAGTGGTATATTTAAGAAATTATTTCTTATGCTTTAAAAATACATACTAAAATATTTATCCAAGAAGTGCATCTGAGGTTTGCTCCAAAATAATTTTTAAAAAGGGGTGAGTGGGTAGGGGTACAGGTAAAACTAGATCAGTCATTAAGTTATAATTACTATAAAACTAGGTGACAAGCACATAGAAGGGTAGTACACCATTCTATATACTTACAAATGTTTGAAATTCTTGATTTAAATAAAGGCCACCTACAGACTATAAACCTCTGATCTGAAGCCTCATGAGTCCACTAATTCCCAGGTTTTAAGAGCATGGGCACTGTTCCATGCTTTAGGTGTTCTATTCCCCCACAACGAACTTTTCATTCACTCTTCTTCCCTGTACTAGATGCCCTGTACTGATTCCTTCCACTAATGCAAGCATGTTCTCTTACAGATTAACAAAACAATTCAACAATGCTCTTTGTATAGAATGTACAGTAATAAGCCAACTATCTCTCCTTTTGCATATCTGTACTTCGATTGCTTAGCAAGCTAATGAGCAGGTGTCCCCAGCCAAAAATAAACTTTCTCACAAAGCCCTTCACTCAAGACAAAACCTGACATGAGAACATGACATGGTATAAGATCACAGGGCTTAATGGGGAACTGTGGGAAGGTCAGGGATCAAAAGAGGAGAAAGGAAGACTTCAGAATAATTACATCAATAATTATATTATAATGGTGCTTGTTGTGTACCACTGCTGACAAGAGTATGTGCAAGAGAGCATCACTGCTCATTTAGAACTCTGTTGTTTCTTTGCAGCCCACTCAATTACCCAAGGTCTGCGCCTTACATGCAAACATTTCTGACTTGCCCCAGTTTCTTTTCTTTCCTTTTTGTAGCAGAGTACCGGGGATCAAACTTAGGACCCTGCACTTATGAGGCAGGCTCAGTGCTAAATCACTGAGCTAAATCCTGTCCCCCACAGTTTCTTTTCTTAACAGTCCTTCCATGCAGGGATTGAATCAGGCAAGCAGGGACCTCTCTTTAAACCCCTACCTGTGTCCCGACTGCTCTGGGACATGGAATCATTCTCCATATTATAGATGACTGTTCCCTGAGAATCAGAAGAGAAGTGACTGACCACAGACTCATGATGGGAATGTTTGTAAGGATAGCTCTCCGTTGAGGAATCTGTTCGAGTGTCACTTGAAATTGAGGGCTCCCTCCCTAAGGGAAGGAGGAGACATACATGCAAAAGTGAGGAAAGAGAGAAGAACAGTGACAGACAATAGGAAAAAAGATAGATGCAACACAGCTCCATGGCAAGAACTTCCTAGAAGGAAGGGTGAGAAGGATATCCAGAGTCATTCTTCCCAACACCCAATTTCCAGGTAATCCAGACACATCCAATTCCTCCCTGCCCCTACCTTGCTGAAGCCCTCACTCTGCTTGCCACTGTGAAAAAATTGGGAGTTCAGAAAACCTATGAGGGAAAACTGGAAGAAATGAAATGAAAATGTTTGAGAAATAAGTTCTATTTCAATGGAAAGTCCCAGGACAAGTTGTACACAACCAATTGTTCACCTATCCTATAATCTTTCTCCTAACTGGCATGAATGTCACTATAAAATATTTAACTGGTAAAAAAATGTAATTGGTATTATATGTATTTTAAATATCTGAAAAATTATACAGCTGTTTTTTATTCTTCAGTGTGAATGAGCTCACTCAGAATGCTTTCTTCTGAATGCCTAGCTGAGATAAGCATAACAGGACACATGGGTGTTTGGCCAAAAGAAGTACAGCAGGTCTAGGTGGGGTATAAATGTAAGAAGAAAGCACCAAGTTCTAAGGAGGAAGGAGATTAAAAAGGAGAAGGAAAAAGAAAGCCAAGAGTTTTATCTTTCAAAAATATACTAAGAGGGCTGGGGATTTAGCTCAGTGGTTCCACCGCCTGCCTCACAAGAGCAAGACTCCGAGTTTGATCCTCAGTACCAAAAATAAATAAATTGATTAATACATGCATAAATAAAATATATATACTAAGGGCATCTCATAGATCCAAAAATAATAAAATTTTTTTTCTTCCTCCTTTCCAGAAGTCAAGCCAAAATTACTAGAATTGTAGACCAAATATGAGCCTCTGTGGGCTAGCCTCAGACTTTAGCCACCAAGCTAAAACTTGTTCCTTTTTTTTTTTTGGTACCAGAGATTGAATTCTAGTCCTTGCACTTTCAAGGCAGGCAGCGGCACCACTTAGCTACATCCTCAGCCCTAAAATTTGTTTCTATAGGAAAATAATATATAAGTTTCAAACAGAAGTAAACAGCTGCGTCATAAACTGAGGAATATTACTACTGCATGTGGAATTTTAAAGCAAAACTTTCTCATCCCCCTAAAAATGATTAGCTTCATAGTGACTCCAACTTGTTTTAACAATTAACTTGAATCGCTATTAAATTACTAGTAAGAATCAATCATTTTATCCAAAATTAGAAGGCTAACTAATGATATCTCCCTCACAAACTTGGTTACCTCAATACACATAAACATAATAATCTTCTCAGGCTGGGGATTTAGCTCAGTGATTCCGCTGCCTGCCTCGCAAGCTCAAGGACCTGAGTTCGATCTCCTGTACCCAAAAAAAAAAAGCTAAAACAAAAACCAAACAAAAAAAATCTCACTTCGAGCTCAGGTCAAATGATTTAGGCAACTCACCCTTTAAGGCTGAAGGAAACAGTCTCACGTAAGTTAGGCTTCAGCATGAGTTGGCACTTCTTTCTTACATCTAATGGATCCTCTCTCCCAACTAGGTTATATGCTAAGCACATAAACATGAGTGCCAACTGCCTTATTACATAGAGTGAGGGGGAGGGAAGAGGTAGAGACCTAGGCAGCTCACCTGAATCTTCACTATCATAGCATGTCCTGCTGTATGGCTGGAACTGAGCTTGGGAAGGCAGGTCCTGGGTAGACACTGGGGTACCTTGGGGATCTGCATAAAGCAGCAGCAAGGGCTGGTAATGTCCCTTGATGCATTTGGTCACCACATCCTTCCATTTGGGACCAATCTGAACCAAAACAACCAGACGAACATGATAATTATACTTCATATTCACAATTCAAACACATTTTTCCATTCTGCTTGTCTAAAGAGAAGACTTAGGTAAAGTGACAACAAAAGATCTTAGACATACACAATAATTTTTTTATTACATCTGTTTTTTGCTAAAACCTTTTAGAAACTATTAAAAGTCCATAAGAAAAATAATAAATAGGACGGGGGACTTGGCTTAGTGGTTTTGCCCCCTGCCTTACAAGCACAAGGTCCCGAGTTCAATCCCTGGTACAAAAAAAAAGAATAAATAAAATTACTTTATTTCTGTGAAACACCAACTCAGTTTTAAAAAACAAATAAACATCTGGGAAGCCAGATGTAGTGGCATGTTCCTGTAATCCCAGCACTTGGGAGGCTGAGACAGGAGGATTGTCATGAGTTCGAGACCAGCAAGGACTACATAGTGAGTCCCAGGCCAACTTGAACTATCTAGCAAGACCCTGTTTCAAACAGCCTCCCCGCCAAAAAAGAAAAAGAAAGAAAGGAAAGAAAAAATCAAATCTGAGTGTGGTAGAGCACACTTATAATCCCAGAACTCAGGGAGCCTGAGGCAGGATTATCACAAATTCAGACCCAGCCTAAGCAACTCAGTGAGACCATATCTCAAAAAATTTAAGAGGGCTGGGGATTTAGCTCAGTGGTTCCTCCACCTGCTTCACAAGTGCAAGGACTTGAGTTTGATCCCCGGTACCAAAAAAATAAAAAAAATTAAGAAAGAAACGTAGCTCAGTGCAAAAGCCCTAGGTTCAATCCCTAGTACCATCGAAACACAAATAAACTTAAAAAATACACACACACACACACACACACACACACACACACACATATACACAAAGACATATATACACACACACAATTTTTAATTTATATTTATATATATGCTAAAAACTCTAAAAGATGGATATACCATGTGAGGGGATTAGAACCCCTCACTTGGAATTTGTATTTCTGCAATTTTCTCCTAAATAGTAAAATCACTCTTATAAAGCTAAAGAGTAGTCAGGAATTCCCTCACAGATTGCCTGAGAATAAATGACATTCAGTTTCAGAGTTCACATATGGCAGGACATAAATGTCAAACTGCTTAGAATAGACCGCTCAACTTCTCAGCCTTAGCCCTGTGATGGATACAGCTCTGTTATCATCACTGGCAAGAGGAACAGAACTGCCATGGATACAACAATCCAACCAAATCTCAGACTCATGCCACCTTAAACTTGAACGGGGCATATCCTTAGACATGAGCTGTGCAGCTGGACAACTAACTAGCATAGTGCTTTGTTCAATTCTGCAAATTTACAACTATATTACTATTATTCTAATTAAAACACATTTATGTACTTTTTACATACAACTCTTGTTTAATACCTTGTAAGAATAATTTTCAGGGCCAGGGATTTAGCTCAGTGGTTCCAGCACCTGCTTTGCAAGCAATAAGGACCTGAGTTTGATCTCCAGTACCAAAAGGAAAAAAAAAGAATACTTTTCAAATAAAAATCTAATGCTCAAAGAATTTATATAAATTGCTCTAAACTACAATGGCAGCATAAAAAGAAACAAAGAAAAGAAGAATAAGGGAATTTGACAAAGATTTTACTATTTGTGAAAGATACTGCTTCAAGGCCATGAAACCTAGCTGCTAATTTTATCACAAGAGGCTTCCTAATTCATACAAATAACCTAAAACCCTTCAGCCACAAAATCTGTGCTTTGGACAGTACCAGGTTTCCTGCTTCAAGTATCATTATGACCTTATTTTTTTATGCTGTCCCCCCAAAAAGTGTTAATCTGTGACAGGACACTTTAGGAGGACAAAAATTGAAGAATAATTTATAGCAGCCCTGAGATATGGTAATTTCAAGATTTGGAATTCTGAACTTTGTGTTAACTTTATAACCTAATTTGAGAGACATTAGACTCAAATCAAAAAATTAACACATTTTAAAAAAAATACTTTTCTAACTTGATATGGTGGCACATGCCTGTAATCATAGCACTCCTGGAGGCTGAGACAGAAGAATCATAAGTCTGAATCCAACCTGGGCACCTCAGGTGAAACCCTGTCTCAAAATTTTTAAAAAAGGGCTAGAATATAGCTCAATGCAAAAGCCCTGGGTTCAGTACCAGTTCCAGGGCAAAGGGGATACTTTGTCAACTGTAAATACAGAACTACGCTAAATACTTGGTGCAGGGATTCAAAGAGAAAACAATAAACACTGATCCTATGCTCAAAAAATTAAATATCTACTGGAGAAAATAAGACTAATATCCTTATAAATTTGAGGAAGAAACAGAAAAATGCAAAGTACATCTCACAGCAGTGAGGGTCATCATTCAAAATTATAAAAATGAAATACGAAAGACAAATAATTATGTTACAGGCACCAAACACTTTAAGAAGGCCTTGGATATCCCTACCTCCTTAACATGAGCATCATCAAAATACATCCATTTGCGGATCTTTGTTTGAAAAAAGAATGTAGAATAATGTTTGCCATAGTAACAGATCATTCCTACTAGATACAGTTCAGACTGTTTGGCCCGGTCATCTGTCACTCTGAAAAACAGCTGTAGAGAGAAAAAGAATGGAAAGAACCATCACATATTCGATCATCTCATATCTCTTAGCAGATTCATCAATAATTTTGGGGGGTACTAGGGATCTAACTCAGGATCTTATGCTTTCAGGGCAGGCAGCGGAACCTCTGAGCTAAATCCCCAGGCGAACATTTTTTAATTAAGGTACTGACTTGCTTCTCCTCCTTTTTTTTTTTTCTTTTGGCTAGTCCAGATTAATCATGAGAAATTAACCTATGAAATGAAAATATACAAAAAGGCAAGAAGACAGTGGCCAGTAACTGATATAGGGTGATGTTTCCTCATAATTTTCATTATTTTCTTATTGAGGATTCTCATGAGAGGAGCTAGGAAAGTTAAAAAATGTTAAATCTCTCAAGTTCCAAAGGTTGCTTATGAGCTAGCCACACAAATATAAATTTCCTACTGAGAACCTAAGTAGGGGGTAAGAAAACCCTTAAGAGGGGAAAGACAACCATGCTGGTTACCAGCATTTCAATTCCTAGGTAACCAGCAATGTTCTGGGTGTTAAGAGACATACAGAAGCTTGATGTGGTGGCTCATGCCTGTAATCCCAGCACTTGGGAGGCTGAGGCAGGAGGATCGCTGTGAGCTCAAGACCAGCCTAGGCTACAGAGTGAGTTCCAGGTCAGTCTCAACTACATAGTGAGACCCTGTCTCAAAAAAACACAAAAAACAAAACAAAACAAAAGAGACATACAGAAACATTTGAAGCAAAGGATTCTGGCTTTGAGGAACTTACATGGATAAGAAAATAATCAAAAAATTAAACCAGAATGGAACAGACTAGATAGACTATAGAAATTAGAATAAAAGAAATTTATTGGGCATAGCCTACTCAGGAAGGATTCATTGTGGACACATAAAATAAGATCTTGGATAGTTCACTTATTCTCAGTAATAGCTACTGGCTTTAAAACAACAACATTAAGGTTCTCTTTAATCAGAGGACTACTTAGAGAGAAACTAATATAAAGAAAACCAATAACTTTCTGGTTCTCCTTGAACCAAAGGAAAATCTGTCTGTACCCACCCTCAGATATGACGCTAATAAGTAGAGACCCAGTCTGACATTTTTCTCTATTTCTCTAAATAAATACACAAATCTCTTAAGCCACTAATTCTCTCTCTACCTGCTTCATTACCTCCTCAATAGATACTGGTTCCTAACTGTGAATTTCATATTCCTGTGCTCAGACCACCAACCTGTATCTCCTTTGGCTCCCACACAGCCCTCAGCCAGGACTGACTACTCCTTTGACCACACTGCCTATGGTTGAATTTACTTCCTGACACCAGCCTGGTATAAATCAACATTAGAAGATGACACAATAACATTATAAATTAATTCATTGATTTTTTTTTTTTTTACCAGTAGCTAAATTCTGCCCATCCTGTCCTTCGAGGCCCAAATAACTCCATTTCTTGTACCTTCACAAAGGAGATAAGTGAGTGTGTACAGGCACACACATGAATCTGTACACACAAACATATTTTCCGAAACTCCATAATATTTGTCATCTAGGACCTACATTTTTGTTCAGTGTTTGAATAATACTAAGATAGAAGTCTAAATCAGAAATAAAGGTAGATAACACGCACATCACCCAGCTTAAGGCAGGTACCAAGGCTGTGGATGACATCTTCTGCCAAGTCTGAATGGTCAGAGTCCCATACTAGGCCAATTGTGATAATCTGTGGAGCATTCATCAGCACACGGCGAATCCGGATCCTCTCTCCACAGTTGCTCTGGGAGGGGAGGGGGAGAATATATATATGAATGACAGTCAACACCTCATTGGGGCTCTACCTCAATTCGATTGAGCTAATATTGTTCTCACTGTGAACCACACCCAAGTTAACTTACAGGACAGTTTCGCAGATCCCCCATGGTGCTGGCATTCTGCAGCAGCTCACCAAACATGCTTGGTGAAGGTTTTTCTCGCCTTTCCAGCATACAAATAGCCTGATTGCTTCAAGATAGGGAAAGAAAGGCAGTAATGGTGAGAACTGTACTGAGCTATGGCTAAATCACAAAAATCATTCATGCAAATTCCTAACTCACAAGTCTGATTTTTCTTCTTCTGCCCACTATACCACAGCCCCTTGTCCTGACCAGCCTCAGTGTCCCACAAACACAGTGAGTGCCTCTACCTGTCCCAAAATCCAAAGCTCATAGAATCCCCACTTCTCCTCCCACTTTGCTGGCCAGAACTGAGCCTAAGAAAAGGGGAGGGATAGGAGAGGAAAGGAGAACAAAGGTTATTTTTAGGTGATAGTGTTCTGAGTTCCTATAATATAGCACAGACCTAGTAACAAAGGTAAAAGGTATTTGGTGGCCTGCAGTTAAAACCCAATCAAGTGGAGGAGTGCCTAAGGTATAACAGAGAACTCTGTAAGACTCACCAAAGGGAAGTGGTAGAGATATAATGTACCATCTGGATGAAAGGCAGTGGATCAGAAGTAGCGCCACAGCTAGTACACACACACTGGGTCAGAGAGAAAAAGCAAAGCTAAGCAGCCACAGTCATGACCTACTTTGAAACCCATTTAACACCCCACATTCCAGGATAAAGTTTTCTTGAAGAAAAGATCTAAGAAGAGATGAAGATAGAGAGAGGGTTCACCTGCTCAAACAACGTCATTGCAAATTTCTGGTGGGAAACACAGTGCTGGGCAGTACATATATCTTCTTTGGTTTCATCAGCAATGTGGAAGTGAATTCTCATGAGGAGATTTTCCTGACAGGGAAAGAACACAAGCAGTATTCCAACAAAACTTAACTGACAAATGGTAAACAAAATGGCGGGCAGTTTACCCAGAGAAATAGCAACTGTCTTATAAAGAAAGAATACATCTCATTCTTTCTTCTTCCAAATCTACTGTTATTTCAAGAACATTATACAACAGGATCATGTAGAATATAACCTTTTGATGTCACTTTTTCACTTGGCATTACTCCCTTGAGATCCACCTGAACTGTTGCATGACTCAATAATTTATTCTTTTTATTGCTGCATAGTATTCCATGGTACAGAATTATCAGTGTTTTTTAACCATTTATCCAGTGAAGAACATTTGGGTTACTTCCAGTTTTATTACTATTATATATGAATATTCATGTATGGGTTTTTCTATGAACATAAGTTTTCATTTCACTGGGATACACATCCAGGAATGCAACTGCTGGATTATATGGTAATTAGCATATTTAGTTTTTGTTTGTTTGTTGGTAACAGGGATTGAACTTGGGACCTCGTGCTTGTGAGGCAGGTGGCAGTATTACTGAGCTAAATCCCCAGCCTTAGCATATTTAGTTTTTAAAGAAACTACCAAGCTGCTTTCCAAAGCAGTGATACCATTTTATAATCCCACCACCAATATATTAAGCAATCAAAATGCTCAGGAGTATCTCCTCTGATTTAGGTCTAATTTTTCCTGTGATTTGATGTATATCTCTATTAGATTTTTTTTTTTTTTTGGTTTTTGGTTTTGAGATAAGGTCTCACTATGTAGTTGAGACTGACCTGGAACTCACTATGCAGCCCAGTCTGGTCTTGAACTCACAGCAATCCTCCTGCCTCAGCCTCCCAAGTGCTGGGATTACAGGTGTGTGCCACCACACCTAGCTCTCTTAGATATTTTTAATGTTTATACAAAGAGTGTTTTGAAGGTTAACAATAGAACAGAGAGAGGATTTAGGATCTTCTATTAAAGTCATGGTGGTAACACAGCTGTCTATAGCACGATATTCTTGTCCTGTAGGTACTCAGTTATTCCGTTTAATATCTTTAGAAATGGAGAAATTTAAAAAAAAAAAAAAAAAAGCACAATTCCCAGACCAGCAATCTTGGTACTAGCATCATCTGGGAATTTGTTAGAGATGGATATTCTTGGGCCCATCTCAGGCTACTGAATTAGAAGCTCTGAAGTACAGGCCAGCACCATTTTAATGAGACTTGGCTCTTCTGAAGATGAGAGTCACTGTTTTATAACACAGCAAGCACAAACCTACCCTAAGCATAAAGGAAAAAAAATACTAAATCTACTCAGCAATTTATATAGTAAGTGCATAGAAATTCTAGATCTCTGAGAAACTAGATAAACTCCCAAGAGTTGGGGATTTAGCTCAGTGGTTTTGTCGCCTGCCTTGAAAGTGAAAGGGCCAAGTTCAATCCCCAGTACCAAAAAAACAAACAAACAAACAAATCAAGCTTCTAGTAGATAAAACTCCCAGCTTCAACTGTACAGATCAGAGTACAATAAATTCCATCACAGTCAGTCCCCAGTGGAGACCATCACCAGTCCCACCTGACATCACAGTAGGCCAGAGTGCAGCACTTACAAAGCACTCTGCAGCATCATCCATAATTCCCAGCTGGAAACGTTGTTCATCCTGAAAAGTCTTTGCCAGAGCACTGCGGAGAGTGTCAGATGGAAGGACTTTTGCACTACTGCACTGAAACTGGTTAAAGATTCCCTGTAGGGAAGAAGTTAGACAAGAAAAAAGGCATAATGGTATTATTAAGCTTCTATACATCTTAGTCTTTCATGTTAGCATCTCTATGCTGATACTGTAGAAGCAACTGTACTTCCCATAGGTTGCTATCTTTGCAGTTAGTAGCTTTAAAAAAATTAAGAGTCAAAATGAAGGGCATGATGTGTGCTAACAGATTTTTTTTTTTTTGGTTTTTTGAGACAGGTCTCACTACGTAGGTGAGACTGCACTGGAACTATGTAGCCAAGGCTGGTCTTGAACTCACACTGATCCTCCTGCCTCAGCCTCCCAGTGCTGGGATTACAGGCATATGCCAGCATGCCCAGCTCTAACAGATTCTTTATCTGAGTGGGATACCACCAAGGACACATGAAACCACCACTATTAATATGAAGCAATTACCTTATTTTCTCAGATACAAACAGAAGTAAATGGTTAGGTAAAAAGAGATGAATTTCATGTAAACAGATTCACACAATACATTTTCTGAGGGCTTATCCTATGAAACTTGGCCCTCTTAAAGCTTTTGGCTAATAAAAATTTTTAAAGTATAAAGAATAATGTAGTAAAAAAACCTGTGTGTTTATTACCCTGAAATAACCACATTTACTTCCATTCTGCAGATAAGCTGAAGTCTTGTTTAAGACTGTCCCACTCTCTACAGCCACTGAGGATTGTGAATTGGTCACACAATCCTATTTTTAATACTTTTACAGATATATATATAATATATATATATATAAAATTACACATAGTATAATTTTGTGCATCTGTGTTTATGAAAAATACACACACACACTGACATTTTTAAAATTCAGCACTGCTTTACAGATGTATCCATAATCATAGATCTCAAGAACATCCTTTTTTTCTGGTATGTATCATTTTATCAAGTGGCAATACCTCATCTACTTATCCATTTACTGACAAATATTTTGGCGGTCTCCAAGTTTTTTGCTATTATCAAGAAGCTAGGCAAACTTACATACTTGCACCAGTATGTGATATAAAGTACCCCATATTCAAAATATCATCAAAAATTAATACTGCAGCCAGGTGTGGTGGCGCACACCTATAGTCCCAGCACTGAGGAGGCTGAGGCAGGAGGATTACTGTGAGTTCAAGACCAGCCTAAACTACGTATGAGACTTTATCTCAAAAAACAAAACAAAATACTGTCAGACTACTTAAAGTTATTCCTTCATGGTCCTTCATGGCAAACACCTTCTAGTCTACTAATTTTGGTTATGATGTATTTTTATGCATAGTTTATTTTCGTATAATTACATGTGTCTAGCTTCTCCATCTTTACCTACACCTGAACCCTGTTGAATGAAATGTCAAGAGAATGGAAACAAAGGTGGCAACAAATGGCACCCGGCTTAAAGTGTCCCTGTCACTTGTTACTGGATTCTCCCTCAGGACTAGAATATGCTCCTTGACATCTAATGGTCTAGATTCACACTGAACCACTCAAAAAATGACCTGCTCAGAAATCCATTACATACCAATAGGCCAGAAGAATTTCTCTCACTTCAAAGTATTAGTAATTCTTCATACAAAAAAGTCAAGCATTATTTTTCAGAGACACTACTGAGACCTCTTTCTTTTCTTTTCTTTTATCATCTCTTTTCCTTCCCTTCCTTCCTTTCAGTACTGGGGATCGAATGCAGGACCTTGCACTTGTGAGGCAGGTGCAGTGCTACTGAGCTAAATCCCTGGCATAATGGGCCTACTACTTTATAAACATGCCTGTGTGAACTTAGCATATGAAATCCTACCCAAGATTGAGTAATCAATCATTGGTCCTCATGCTGCTGGACCTATCAGCAGCATTTAACCTAGCTGATCTTTCATGTATATTCTTCCTTTAGCTTCCAGGGCATCACACTCTCCTGGTTTTCTATTTCATAGGCCACTCCTTATCAATCTTTTGCCAATTCTTTATCATTTCAGATTTGGTATTCAGAGATTTGGGATTCAGAGTTCTTCTTTTCCCTATAGGAAGTCTTTCACACTTTTAGTAGTTTCATCTACCATCATGGTTTTAGATACTACACATACATTACATCTTTGACCCTCTCTAGCACTCACACCCTATTAACTGGCAATTCTTCTATTTGCCCTCTCAAAACACATTTAGACTCCACTACCTCATTTGCTACCACTGCAGTCTCAGCTAATTCATCTCTTCGCTTGATGACTGCAACCATTTTTTGACTGGAACCCTTCCCAGAGGAAACACACAGCAGTCTCAATATAGCACTCAGATTTTTTTTTTTTTTTTTTTTTTTTTTTTTTTTTTTTTTTTAATGGTGTTTATTTTTTTTTTTTTTTTTTTTTTTTTTTTTTGGTACTGGGGTTGAACTTGGGTCCTTGCTCTTGTGAGGCAGGCAGCAGAACCACAGAGCTAAATTCCCGGCCCCAGATGACTTCTACAAAATACAAATCAAATCATGTCATTCCTCTGCTCAAAATCCTCTAGTTTTCTACTGAGCAAACAGTAAAAGCCTGAGTGTAAGACCTCCCATAATTTGCCCTACTAATCTACTCTGGCTCACCCCACACAAGCTCTGACTTTACTCTCTAGAATATAGTAAATATGAGAATATGAACTTTTGTCCTTTGATTCCTTCCTATACTCCCAACAACTACAATGTTACTGGTATATAAAGATCAACCAAGATTTTTTATTTTCCCTCTTTTTCAGAGGCTCTTTGGTGTGCTTCCCCACCTCCCATTCTAAAACAAGGTCTTGCTACACAGTTCAGGCTGGCCTTGAACTCAATATGAAGCCCACACTGGCCTCAGCCCCAAGTGCTGGTATTACAGGTGTATACCACTGAGTCCTGCTTATTTATTTTTAACATGTTTGCAATACATAATAATTGTAATTATCTTGGTGAATTAGTACATCTTCATATCACATCTTGACCATATTTGCAAACCACCAGTAATTATTTCCAGAATAGCTCTGTGCAAATCTAACACTTTCAGGTAGGCAGGGTGGTACACACCTATAATCTCAGCACTTGAGAGGCTGAGGCAGAAAGATCACGAGATTTTTGAAGCCAACCTGGACACAAAGTGAGTTCAAAAACAGCCCGAACTACATAGTGAGACCCTGTCAGAAAAAACAAAACAAATCTGATACTTTCAAATATCAGCACTTTTAGTCTTTCTCAAGCAAGTTTCTCTAAGAATTAAGCCCTACTACTCTAAGGCACTGGCTATTCCTAATGAATTAACTTCTTCCCTATGTGTGCCATTTTTTGAGAGAATTAATAAAATAGTGATCTTAGATTATGACACTCTGGGCCAGGCATAATGATGAATACCTGTAATTCCAGCACTCAGGAGGCTGAGGCAGGAGAACTGCTCTGAGTTTGGAGACCAGCCTAGGCTACACAGTGAATTCAAGGCCAGCCTGAACTACATAGCAAGTCCCTGATCTTAACAAATCCCCAAAACCAAAAGCAAACAAACATACAAAACCAAAATATAAAGTCCCACCCAACTACTACAGTCTGTAGTTCCGATGACCCTGTTTGAGAAAGGACAGGATTCTACTCAGAAATAGCACAGTATTAAAATAGTTAAGAGCTTGAATTTTGGAGCTAAACTGCTTGGGTTAAAATGCCAATCCTGCTACCAGTCATACGACATTGAACAATTTATTTTTATTTCTCTAGGTCTTGTCCCCCAACACACACACACACACACACTCCAGATCGAACCCAGGGCCTTGTGCATGCTAGCCACATACTCTACCTGAGCTGTATCCTTATTTTTAAGAGAAGGTCCAGGCTGTAACTCAAAAATCTTCCTGCCTCCCCCTCCCAGCTCACTTTCTCTTTTAACAGAGTAAATAACAGTATTTAGTTCATAGGGTTGAGGATTAAATAAATATATCTTAAACTATGTTAGTCTATATAAAGAAATTAATATGTATGGATAGATGTATGTATATCTTAAGACAAATAGATATGTTAGACTCATGCCAGGCAATATTATAGGTGCCACCACAGTGTTAGGTGGTATCATTATTGTTGTTGTTGCTGCTATATATTTAGGAGTCTTTCTCACTGTCCTATGCTAAGAAGGGCTTTGAGTCAGATTTTTCTACCTTAGGCTACTTCTACCTTTCTGAGATTTGAAAGATTACCTTATTTCAATTATGTTGCTCCCACTGAAGAAAGGCAGATTTCCCATGACCTAGATAATTAGGATTTCAGTAGAGGAAAGGAAAGGTCTAAAGTCAGAGCTCTGCCTGCACTCACAGTGATCTCCAAAACAGTGTTCAGTGGCATCAACATCTCCATGCCATATTCTTTTTTTCATCTAATTATAGGCATCCTTCTCTATGCACACTGTATAACAAAATGCTTTCAGAATGGCTTCTAACTGAAGGTCCTTTACTTTCCTATTTTAATGATTATTGTCAGTCCTGCTCTGCTATTGTTAGGAAGAAGCAAGAGTTTTGGGATGAAGTAGCCTGAGCCCGCCCAGCATGCATTTGTTGAGCTACAGCTCTGGAAGAAACTGGAGCACAAAGCCCCTCTGTTAAGGCAGCACACTAACCCCTGTGTGTCCGCCTCACATGAGCACAGGGGCTGGAATGGGCCTCCTCCTGTTCCCTTTTTCACCCTCCTCCCACCTTTCCCAGAGGGAGATCCTGTTCACACCAAAGAAAGCCAAGAACATTTAGTTCAGCATAAGAACAGGTGGCAGTACCAATAAGTAACAAAACCTGGTATTCTTCCAATTGCTGAGTTCTATGGCAGGGAGAGAGAAAGGGCAAGAAGAACGAAAACCCGGGAGTCATTTTTTTTGTGTGTGGAGTCCCTGGTGGTTCCATTTCAATCAAGGGGAAACAAAAATCAAAACACAAAAATAAAACCTTGAGGTTTCTTTGTATGCTTCTTCACAGGGTAAACCAAAGAGATTTTCCTTTTCACTCTCATATAACAACATATTATTTT